GAGCTTGATTCGAGAGGTGAGACATTTATTGGTTTTGTTACTGTTAAAATGTGAACATAATTATATTTAGAATTATTGTAAATATTTTATACTTTAAAATATTCTCTTTGTGTATTTTATACTTTAGAATATTCTCTTTGTAAATACCTATATATAGGTCATTGTACATACAGTATGATTTAAGAAAGTAATAAACCTTTTTTCAAATTATTCTTCTTTTCTATTTTTCTAACATGGTATCAGAGCTATAAGCTCCGGATTCTTTTCTCTTATCATCGCTGTTGGGTTTTTTTGGAGTTTGATTTTCAATTCCATTCCAAATCTAAAACTTTGTCGTTGGGATCTCTTCTCCTATAGATTGAATTGTTTATCCTCGATTCTCAAGCCCTTTCTGAGGTATTTTGTTGGTTTGTTATTTCGATCTTGGCATCTATTTCTTCATATTTTTAGAGTTTTTCAGTATTGTGAGTTTATTGATTCTATGGCGAGTTTTGAAAGGGTTGTAGCTCATCCTACTACTGCTATGGTTGCCAAAGAAGTGATAGAACAACCTAATGTCAACCTTGAATCCCTAAAACAGGTGATATTAAATCTTTTTAATTCTCTTAGTGTCTTATCTACTGCTACGAGTACCAAACCTTGGTATTTTGATTCTGGTTGTTGTAACCATATGTCTTCAATTACTGCTCATTTCTCTTCAATGTCACCTAATAATTCCTTTCCTGATATTTATTCTGCTGATGGTTCCCCTATGAATGTTAGTCACATTGGCAATGTTTCTACAAAGTCACTGACTTTACCAAATGCCCTTTTAGTTCCAAAACTTAGTTATAATCTTCTATCTGTCGATCAATTATGTGATCTTGGTCTTGAAGTAACATTTTCTACTCATGGTTGTCGTGTGTAGGACCCATGGACAGGACAACTTCTTGGAACTGGTCGCAACGTGGGGCGTTTGTTTGAGCTCAACTATCTGCATATTCTTGATAATAAAATGGACACACCATCATTTCCAAATGATCGATTCATCCAAACCCTGCTTTGTGTTGTTGAATTAGAGTCTTTGCAAATTCCATATCAACAAATCTTCCAAGCCTATGCTGCTACTAACATTTCTCCTCTCCATTTGTGGCACTCATGACTTGGACATACCTCAATTGGTAAACTTCGTCCACTTATCTCTCGTGGTTTATTAGGATCAATTTCGAATGAATCTATGCATTGTGTGTCATGTCAATCTGCAAAGTAGCCAACTTTATCTTTTTCGAGTAGTCATTCTCATTCTCTTGCTCCTTTTGATTTCGTGCATTCTGATGTTTGGAGTCCATCTCCTACACCCACCATGGGGGGCTCCAGGTACTTCGTGTTATTTATTGATGATCATACTCATTTTACCTTAATATACCTTATGAAAAGTCGCTCTGAATTATCTCAAATTTATATTGATTTTGCTACCATGGTCAAAACTCAGCTCTCTAAAATTATCAAAGTTTTGAGAACTGACAATGCTACTGAATATTTTGGTACTAAACTTCAATCTTTTTTGAAAGAACAAGGTACACTATCACAACAATCTTGCCCTTATACTTCTGAACAAAATGGGCGAGTCGAACGTAAACACAGACATATCCTTGATTTTGTTCGTGCTCTGCTCATTTCATCTTCTTGTCTAGAGAAATTTTGGGGTGAAGCTGCTCTCACAGCTGTTTATTTTATTAATTGCATTCCATCATTAGTCCTTAATAACCAGTCTCCATACGAGCGTCTACATGGTATTCTTCTTGCTTATAATCTTAAGGTTTTTGGTTGTGCATGTTTTGTTCTTCTTCCACCTCATGAACATAAGAAGTTAGAACCTAGAGCTTGATTATGCTGTTTTTTGGGTTATGGGATTACACAAAAAGGATATCGTTATTGGGATCCTGTGTCACAAAAACTCCGAGTTTCACGTCATGTTGTCTTTTGGGAACACACTATGTTCTCATCATTGTCAAACTTCAAAGTGTCATCCTCTCATCAACCTCCATTTTTTACTAATCCTTCTATTGAGCTATTTCCTAGTGATTCTAATGCAGGCACATCTGATGAGCTCTACAATGCCTCACCACATGCTCCAACTAGTTCTGTAGAAGATGATCTGCCTACTGGTAATGCATTAGATAATTTTGAGCCTTCTTCTAGTTCCTCATCTGTATCACCTATTGATTCTACAAATGAGCTTGTTGTCCCATCCTCGAGTCATCCTACTTGGGTAAGAAACCCTCCCAACTACCTTCGTGATTATCATTGTTTTCTTGCTATTACTTCATTACATGAGCCTCAATCCTATCAAGAGGCCTCTTCTAACCCTCTTTGGCAATAAGCTATGCAAGATGAATTACAAGCTCTTGAGAACAGTCGTACATGGGATTTAGTTGATCTCCCTGCTGAAAAATCTCTAATAAGCTGTAAATGGGTGTACAAGATCAAAACACGATCTGATGGTTCTGGGAAGCGTTATAAGGCACGCTTGGTTGCCAAGGGTTTTACACAGGAGTATGGAATCGACTATGAGGAGACATTTGCTCAAGTTGCTCGTTTTACATCTGTGCGCAGTTTGCTTGCTATCGCTGCTATGCGGAGGTGGAAATTATTTCAAATGGATGTGAAAAATGCTTTTCTTAATGGTGACCTAGAAGAAGAAGTTTATATGAAACCACCTCCTGGGTTCAACCATCCTCCAAGCAAGGTATGCCGATTGCGTCGTGTATTATACGGGTTGAAGCAATCCCCTCGAGCCTGGTATGTAAAGTTTAGTACTACTGTGAGTGAGTTTGGTTTTACTTCCAGTCCACATGATACAACTTTGTTCATTCGTAAGACTGCTCAGGGTATGGTTCTTTTACTTCTTTATGTTGATGACATAATTATTACTAGAGATGATGTCATAGGTGTTAAGGAGTTAAAACAATCTCTTAGTTAGAAATTTGAGATGAAAGATCTTGATGTTTTGAGCTATTTTTTAGGGCTTGAAGTGACCTCTTCAGATGATGTCTATCTGCTTTCTCAAGTAAAGTATGCCTCCGATCTTATTTCTAAAGCTAAACTCAATGATGGTAAGAGTGTTTCTACACCTCTTGAACCTAATGTCAAGCTTACACCTATGGATGGCTCTCCACTTTCTGATCCTACTCGCTATCGGCAATTGGCTGGTAGTTTGGTTTATCTTACTATGACACGCCCTGATATAGAATATACAGTTCACATTGTTAGTCAGTTTATGGCTGCTCCTCGCTCCACTCATTATGCAGCAATACTTCACATTATTCACTATGTTAAGGGAACATTATTTCATGGACTCCATTTTTCTACCAACTCCTCCCCTGTGCTTCGTGCTTACTCTGATGCTGATTAGGCTAATGATCCTTTTGATCGTAGATTTACCACTGGTTACTGTCTTTTCCTTGGTAATTCTCTTATCTCTTGGCGGAGTGAGAAACAAACTATTCCATCTTGCTCTAGTACTGAAGTTGAGTATAGAGCTCTTGGGGATACCACATCAGTTCTTTCATTGCAGTGGCTTCTTGAAGATATGGGCATTCCTCAACCTTCTTCTACTGATTTATATTGTGATAATCAAAGTGCTATGTAGATTGCTCATAATGATGTCTTTCATGAACGCACTAAACACATTGAGGTTGACTGTCACTTTATTCACCATCATGTTGCACAAGGAACTGTTCATTTGGTTTTCATTGGCTCCGCTAATCAACAAGCAGATCTCTTTACCAAGGCTCATTTTCCTGAACGCTTTCGTACTCTTCTTTCCAAACTCAAGTTGGTTTCATCACAACCACCTTGAGTTTGAGAGGGGATGTTAAGATGTGAACACAATTATATTTAGAATTATTGTAAATATTTTATACTTTAAAATATTTTATTTGTATACTTTTACCTTAGAATATTCTCTTTGTAAACACCTATATATAGGTTATTGTACATACAGTATGATTTAAGAAAGCAATAAACCTTTCTTCATATTATTCTTCTTTTCTATTTTTCTAACAGTTACAAAGCTATGAGAAGGCATCAGGTCAGAAGACAAACTTGGAAAAATCGGCAATATTCTTTAGCTCTAATGTGGATGAGGTTACTTCAAAACAAAGTCATGGATATCATTACTTCGGGATGAGCATTACTTATGTTTATCCATAATGATTGGCCGAAGTAAGTCGTTATGCTTCTCTAGTATAAAAGAACGAATTCGGAGTAAGATAGAGGGCTGGAAGGGTAAACTGCCTGCTTGCTCGGGCTGGCAAGGAAATTCTTATCCAAGCAGTGGCACAAGGGATATCGACGGACTACATGGGAGTTTTTTGTCTACCTAAATCTTTTCTACAAGAATTGAATCCGATTATGGCTAGATTTTGGTAGGGTGAGGAAGATGGATGACAGAAAATGCATTGGATGAGATGGGAATCATTATGTAGACCGACGAGTGAAGGAGGATTAGGCTTTTGAGATTTTGATGCTTTTAGTTTAGCTCTTTTGGCTAAACAGGGATGGCATCTAATTAACCAACCCGACTCTTTATGTGGGCGTATGTTAAGAGCTAAATATTTTCCAGATGGGGAGTTTATGCATGCTAGGTTGGGGTTGTATCCTACTCAAATTTGGTGGGCGTTTCTGGAAGGGAGGGATATACTTTGGAAGGGGTCTCGTTGGAGAGTAGGAGATGGCACTCATATTAGGATATGATTGGATTATTGGTTGAACAGAAAGCAGCTACCTTGTCTTTCTTATGTTCCTTTATTCATCTAGGCATTTCGGGGTCTCGGATTTCATTGATCATGAAAATTGTCGATAGCGTCAAGATCAGGTCCGGACTTTTTTCTCACCTTTGGATCTACCTGCCGTTTTGTATATCTTTTTGGCTAGATTTTGCAAAAGGATAAGTTGGTATGGGAACTTACTGTTGATGGACATTTCACGGTTAGAACAGCATATAGATTGGCATGGTGAGGGAAGTATGTGGATGCAGTACCTCAGGCCCAGAAATCCCTTTGGAATGGCATGCATTTGCAATTTGTCTGTCTCACCAAATCTGAGGAATTTTGTATAGCGGATTGCACGTGGTATTCTACCTTTGCGAACAGTTCTGATGGCTGGAGGAATGAACGTGGACAATGGATGTGCGCTCTATGGTACGGGTTTGGAAGATTTTGGTCATCTCTTTTTTGGTGTCATTGGAGTCTAAGTCTATGGGAAAGGTTGCTTCCCGCCCTTGACGTGCAGCTTTCTAGCACGAGGAGTTCATGGAGGTTATACAACGTGTTTTCTTATCTTTGGATGAAGAGCAACTTCGTTTGTTCACAGTGGTAATGTGGTTTATTTGGAAAAACTGGAATAAATGTGTTTATGAGTTTAATTACTTGCGATTCTGTTTCTTCTGGTTTTCGTAGAGTACGGAAGTGTTGAAGAATTTTCAAAATAATTTTAGGATTTGTCTATCAAAAAAAAAAAAAAATTTCAGGATTTGAGTTCAAACTACAAAAAGTTGGTTCAAAACAATTGCCAAAATGCATTTGAAAAAATATAACTTTGGTTTGAACCAGGTAATTATGATTTGAACTGTTTATGTAAAATCAAAATTCATAAAGTATGATTTTGTTTGAACCATTTACGTCAGAAATAAAAAATAGATTTTTGATAAATTTCTCAAGAACTGTTTATGTAAAATCAAAATTCATAAAGTATGATTTTGTTTGAACCATTTACGTCAGAAATAAAAAATAGAATTTTGATAAATTTCTCAAGAAAGAGTGGATAACTTTGGAAGGTAAGGAAACACATTAGTTGGAATTTAAATCAAACCAATTGACTTTTGGAAGATTTTGCAACAGATAAATTTAATGAAAAGGAGCATCTGTTCCCAACAGACATCTTACCCCTATAAATATGGAGTTATTTGTTCTTCTTCTTCAGAGTTTCTTGAACATAAAAAACAAATCTAGACTATTATTTGAATAAAACAGCTCTTTTTGTACTGCAATTGCTGTAGAAATTCTTGTACAAAAAGTATTGTTTTGTTGCTTTCTAAAGAATGGTTCAGTGATTGATCTTGCTAGTACAAAGGCAAGATCAACAAGGCACTTCATTGTATCCTATAGGTATTTTGGTTGACCCTTTTTGCATACTAAATCTGGTGGAGGTGAAATTAATCTAAAGTAAAGTGGCATTTGCAGCATACCTTGAAGCCAATGATTTATTTTCTAATCCCCAATTTCCAATAGGAAGTTGGTTAGTGAGCGGAGACGAGTTGAGGAGGAGAGCCAAGGCAACCCGTGTTAACTGATTTTGCACCTAGTCGGTCATTGAACCCACCAACAGAGGGGCTAGTAAAGGTTAATACAGATGTGTGGTTCAGCAGGATAGAGCATTGTTGAAGTGTGGGGTGGTCTTTAAAAATGATTGCAATGAGATCCTTTATAGTGGGTGTAAGACGTTAAAAGGCAGGTTTTCCATCTTAGAGGGTGAGTTGCGAGCTTTATTGTTTGAAGTTCGGTTGGCAATGGATTTGGCGTTTCGAAAGATAATACTAGAGAATGATTCTGTCCATGCTGTGAAGGAAATCAGCAAGGGCGAGGGTTGTATGCTCTTTCATGGTGCCATGGTTGCTGAATTGCATGGACTGTTGAAGTGTTTAGATCACTACTATTTTAGCCATGTTAGAAGAGAAGCAAACAAGGAAGCCCACAAGGTTGCTCGTTGAGCTCCTAATATATAGAGTGATAGGATATGGATAGGAGTATTAGGCTCCACTGTATCTTCTTCTCATAACTCTGTAATTTCTTTATTATTGAATGAATTCTTATTTTCATCCAAAAAAATAAAAAATGACATGAATCAAATTATACAGTGAATTCCAAAAATTGAGTATTTTTGCTTACGTGAAAGAAAACTAGAGTAACAACATGCAAATGGAATTTGTGCTAGTATATATTCGCAATTGTACCTTTGATTCTAATAAACTATCGAGGATATAGTTTTGTGATTGAAACATCATTTTTTGTCAAGGGGAGATTTTCTTCCTTTAAGTTCTTCGATTGAGATACCCAGGAATTGTATCCGTTTGAGGATGATAGGTCTGATTCAATGTTGCTGTGCATAAAAAATGCAGGCTGTGAGGGCATTGGAAGAGTGGTTGAATTGCTATTAAGCATGAGAACAACAGTAGCCATGGTTGGCCGGTCAACAACATTTTCTTGAACGCATAGCAACCCAATATGAATGCATCTCATCATTTCAGTCCTCGAACCATTCTTCAAAGTTGGATCTATGAGATTTATTCCAGTCCCTTCCCTCCAATTTTTCCAGGCCTGCAAAGAGTTGTAAATACAAACATGAATACAACATTAAAATAAGATCTTGCAAACCAAGATTTGAACTCTTATTTGTGACAAGAGGGAAACATAAGTTTATATTTTCATACTTACATAGCTTACTAGGTCCTCCACATTCTCCCCATTTCGAAAACAATTGTTTTTTTGACTGCTTACAATTTCCAATAATAATACACCAAAACTGTAAACATCTGATTTTACTGAAAACTGTCCATGCATTGCATATTCTGGAGCCATGTATCCACTGCATACATATTAATGTTAGTGAGAGCATTTTTAACGGTAAAAAATGAAGATGGCTTAAAAGTCAAGATCTAGTATTGTCTTAACGCAATATACATAATAAAGTCATTAATTCTTGGCACTTCATGTTTTAGAATTTTGTGTATAGAAAAACAACAATTCAAAGTTTTACTGCGTTTTTATTGATACTTACTAAGTTCCCACAATTCTACTGGTATTGCCTTGTGTTTCGTCTCTTACAAACAGCCTTGCCATGCCAAAATCTGCAATTTTAGAGTTCATATCTTCATCTAATAAAATGTTACTAGCTTTGAGATCACAATGAATGATACGAAGACGAGAGTCCTCATGAAGATAAAGGAGGCCACGAGCAATTCCACCAATAATTTTGTAACGCATTTCCCAATCCAATTGGGTGCACTTGATTGAATCTACATGTTCATAATTCATGTAAGTATGTGATTAATTACTAGAACAAATCAAGGGCCAATCACTAGGATATCAATTTAAAGGTGTTCATAGCTTTGCAGATAACAAGGACATAAAGGTGTAACTTGATTCCTTGAAAACAAGCAAACTCAAATTTATTTTTTGTGATCAGAATTGAAATCTGAACGGAGCTAAATTGATAAGGGTGCATACCAAATATGAAATGATCAAGGCTTGTGTTTGGTAAAAATTCATAGATGAGAAGTCTTTCATCTCCTTCCAAACAAAAACCAAGGAGCCTCACCAAATTGCGATGTTGAAGCTTGGCCACTAAGAGGACTTCATTCTTAAATTCTGTATCGCCCTGTCCAGAACCACTAGATAGCCTTTTAATAGCTACGTGTTGTCCATCTGGAAGCCGACCCTGTTTGCATAAGAAAATAAAGTGACCCTAAATGTGAGCTTGATGAACATGAAATTCAATATACAGCTAAATGTTTAGGCTCCATTTAGTATAGTTTTGCATTTGAGTTTTTTATTTTTATTTTTTATATATTTAATAACAAGTACCATATTTAATTCAAATAAAAATTTTCGTACCCTGTAAACTGCTCCAAATCCTCCTTGTCCAAGCTTATTTTCATCACTGAAGTTATTAGTTGCTGCCTTAACTGTGGCAAAATCATATTGCAAAGACTCCGCCTTAATCATTTCATCTGCAGCTGGAATGAACAAAACATTGGAATAAGATTAAACACATTCTTTGGTATGAGCGGATTTCAAACATATTACTCTTTTCATTCTAAAATAATTGTTCTTTCTAATTTTTTCTCCATATTAAGAAGTTGAGGACAATTCATATATTTTTAAAAAAAATTAAAAAATAAAATAAGATTTTTTGTGATAGAATAATTAATTAAAATAAATAGATAATAATAGGTTGAAAGTAAAAAAAATATTTATTTATCCTAAAAATAAAAAATGACAATTAATTTAAAAAAACACTCAAAGTCAAATAAAGGCAATTCCTTTGAATCAAGGAAGTACATACTTTCAACAGTTTCCTTTGGCTTTCTGAGTCTTAAAATGATCCAAATACAGAGGACAAGCAACAGAACACCAACAACTGAAGCAACCACGGAAATGATGATTGTTCTTCGAGTTGTGTCGTTTCCTTTTCCTGCAAAACCCAAAAGTTTGGACCCAATCACTAGATTTTTTAATCTAACATGCACCACCAACAAAATTGAAAGTAGCTTTCAAAGAGAAGCTGAAATTTTAAATGTGATGCCCCAAAATTTTCATTTCGAGAAGAAAGTATGACTGATTTCTATTAAAGAATGAGATTAATTTCTTCAAGTACTAAAACGAATGCAATAACATCTCCAAGGGTCCAACTTGGTTAATAAATCATAATCTTAGTCCTCAACATTTAGCGGTGCTTGTAAAGCCTTTCGCAATTATTTAAACTTATCAATGCGGTCCCCAACTTTTTAAAACTTTACAATATAATTTTTTATTCACATTTCTAGACTCAAACGAAAAATAAAAACATATTAAAATATACAATTAGTGTATATTAGTTAAATTTATAGAAAATTAAGTAGAAAAATATTTAAAATTATGTCATTTTAATAAAATATTACAAAAAAAATCATGTAACATAATTAAAAATAACATAATTATAAAGTACTTTTTGTCTAATTTTTATAAAAATTTATCTATCTTGTGTCCTTAGTTGGTTTTATAAAAAGTTTGTGCATTCTGCACCCTTATGACACAAGATAGGAAATAATTGTTAACTAATAATTATTACTTTTTATCTTCAAAGTGATGGAGTTGACTTTTATTTTAATTATGGATATCATGTGTCTAACTTTTTATTGTTTATTTTAAATTACTAAATAAAAATTATTTTTTAATTTAAAATTTCACATTTTTTTAAATATTACAATTATTATTCAATCATTATTTCTTCTCTTATACTTTAAAGGTACAAAATAAACAAACTCTTTTTATGAGCCGACTAAAGAAATACTCGTCCCTTAATATATTATGTTACTTATAGTTTATAAGTTTAGAAAAGTTCACCTAACATAAAAATACCACATGGCCTCGTTAGGACTGGAAAGACACCCATTTTAGCCTATAAAATACTATTTTATGTGCCTTTTTTTGCGCGACGCAAACCTTTGTTTTCACACTACACTTCCCAACCAACTCCACATTGTCTTTAGCCCGAGGACTCAACAGTAACATATTATATTTATTTGGTCCATGATTATCCAAGTTAGAAAAAAAATTAACATATTTCGTAATTTAAATTGTATTAAATTATAAAATATAAACTATTAAAAAAAATAGTCTCAATATTAGAGAACATGTCTTCTAATTAATAATTTAAATTATATAATACTTAAAAAAAAATAATGAGACGGCTATCTTGCAAAGTTTTAAAAGATCAAGAACTCAATTACTTCATTTTAAAAATTGACTGGCAGCACTGCAAGAACTCCTAAAGCTAAGGGCGTATGTGGTTTGAGAGGCCAGGTGAGGGGAGGGGAGCATGTCAAACCAAAAAGGCCCTAAATGGTGAGGACAAATGTTATCCCCCTAATCAAGGTGTTAAATGGATAAACGTTAAAGATAAAAAGCGCAAAAAGATGTTTGTACCAAAAAAAAAAAAAGGAAAGGGGGAGAAGTTGCAAATAGCTACTTTACCTTCAGTTGGAGGCGGAGGTGACGACGGTTGAGGAATGTCATCTACAGCTTGAAAAAATGGGTAAGTTTCATATCTCAAGTTACAACTGGGTTGCTGAATTCTGCAACCGGTGTTCCCTCCGCAATTGCTAACCCTGTCGATGGCCTTCGCCAGACAATTGCTGCAGTCTTCCTGTGACAGATCCGGAGAGCACTGCACCAGGGCGTAAATTTTTCCAAAGACATCAGGACTCGTCGTGTTATCTGCCGCATACTTGCGAAGAGAACCTCCAGCGGCTGCACGGTTGCTTAAATTATTCAACAAGGAACTCAAGGCCTGGTTGAAAGCATTAAGATCCGTCGCGTTGGTGCCACTAACTAGTACAGGGGAAGCCTTAGGATCTGTTTCCATGACTCCGAATAGTTGTTGGCTTGAGTAGTGTAAAGTACAGTTTTCCGACCACCCGATTGCTTCCTTATTGTTGGGACAGAGTCGCTGGAGCTCGAAGACAGTATCGTTCAGGCAGGTTTTGCAAACGTCCTACTTTTTGTCTCCCCTGCAGAGTCCGATTGCGTTGACCTGATCAGGGCTCTGGCCGACGGACATATTGTAGAACCCATAATTGAAAACCTCATCGGAAATGAGCTGGGAAAAGAGACCATTGAGGTTGGACCCATAGGGACTGTTAGCGGTGAAGTTGCCTTCGCTACTAGGACAACTGGACAGGAAGAAAAGATCGGCAGCAGAGCAGAGATTTGTGAGGAAAACAGAGGAAAATAAGATCAGAAACAGTCTTGAAGATCCCATTTGCCCCAAAAAGAGTAAATCAGTTAATTGAAAATGGTATAGATATTGATGAACATGGTTGATCTAACATTACGCTAATTTATTATGTATAGATGGAGATGGAAGTTGTTGATTACAAAGCCGCCTTGGACCCCGTCAGTTCGAAACTAGTTGATTACCTGCGCCTTCTGGAATTCATATTAAATTCAACGGAAATAATAGTATAATTACATGTACCAAAAGAAATAATAGTATAATATAATTACATGTACCAAAAAAAAAAATAGTATAATTATAATTGGGTTAAACCTCTAATTTGGTCCCTCAACCATTCTATAGACCCCAATTTGATTCTTAAACTAAAATATTTCCTGATTTGGTCCTTATTATTTACTAATTTGACCCCAAGTTAATTCTTCTATACAAAAATAGAAGAAGTGACTTATTAATAACGTTATATGTGACCATTAAGTAACAGTTTTCTGTCGTTAAGTAATTAATACATTAGTTGTTTTTTAACAAAAAAATCAAGTTAGGATCAAATTAGTAAATAGTAGGGACCAAATCAAAAATCCGTATAATAGTTGAGGGATTAAATTGGAGGTTTAACCCTACAATTGCAACCGAACATTGTATACTTACAAAATGACAATGATATGATAATATGGTTAAAATTGCAATGTAACATTATAGTTGTGTTAAAGGTTTGGATGTCAATGTTTCATTTTTTTTTTCTTTTTATTTTTATGATAACATTGGTTTGGATACCAAATCTCGACTTTAAACGGCCCCGACTTTTTGCACCTGGTCTTTGGCCAAGTGGCCTGGTCTTTGGCCAAGTGGCCTTTGGCCACCTTGAAGTACACCCTCCTTCCTCCTTGGGCGGGTTCTAACCCGTCCCATGACAATATTGTTCAAAAAAAAAAAAAAACATTGGTTTGCATACCTATGTTATTATAAAAAATAGATGTATAAAATATCACAACATATAACTCCCAAATAAAAAGAATTAGTAAATCATTTTTGTAAATGTACACAGGTCAACAATGTTGAGAATTTTTTGATAAAAAATAAAAATTATATTAAAATCATAAAATTGAGATTACATATGAATTCTTATATTGTGACCTATTGAAAGTTTGAAACATATCTCACAACACTGAATACAATCAAGATATGTTTGGAAACTTTAATTTGTATTTGAGAGTTGTATTTTAAATACATATATTTTTAAATTTACTATTTGGATTAATATAACAACAATGAATTTGTTATTCAATTTGGTCTTTGAAAAAAAGGAGAGAATTAAAATATATAGATATAGATCTAAATTTGAAATACATGTGGTTGGGAGGGTATTTAAATACACAGATTTAAAGTAATAAAATACATGAACCTAATTATATATATTTGGGATAAATTTAATTATATACTTATTTTGTAAAAGCAAATAGTGATATTGAATTTGAAAGGTTCAAATTCTTGTTTAAATTCAAATACACTCTATAAAAATCATGTTTTTAAATATATCATCAGTGAATTTTCTCATCTACTATAGTTTTATTTAGTATGATTGTGGTTGAGTTTTTAATTTTGATTTTTAAAATTTAAACAATTAAAATTAACAATTAAAAACTAAAATTAAAAATTAAAAATGTAATTTATTAGGTATAAAGTTTTATAATAAATGTCCAAAACTACAAATTTAATTAATTTATAAAAAATTTTAATTTTGTTTTTAAATTTTTAAATATTTAAAAATTAAAATTAAAAACTTAAAATTACAATTATACTATAAGGTAATCTATAATTTTTTTCTTCTACAATTCATTGAGAAATCTTCTCCGATGTCCTTCACCAAGGCTGCGGGTTGACAAATTGGAAAAGTCCTTTTTGACAAGCCGCCTTGACAAATTGGAAAAGTCCTTTTTGACAAGCCACCTTGTTGGAAAATTTGAATCTGCATGTGCCTTTATTAGTTTATTTTCTAAGAGCATCCCACTCCCATATTTCCACCACGCCACTATTTTTTTTCTTTTGGTACATAGGTAGTTTAGAGATTGAATATTAGATGTTAGTTAAGATTATAAATAATTTTATTGTCAAATTACATAACTGATAATGCTAAGCCACTATTATAGCAGTAACATCTGCGACAAATCCCGAATAATCCGTACTTATACTAACTCTCCCAGAGTTGTGCATAAAGTCTACGAGAATATATGATTCCTATATTGTAAGTTTTTTTTGTTCAATAAAAGAATAAGAGGTTTTAAAACACTAATAATTTATTGATACGAGTGGAAAGAGTTTAGTTCTTTTTAAATAAGATTTTGAATTCGGATTTTATAAATGAAAAAATAGACACTGAAAGAATTTCCTTCAATGTAGTTATCGGATACTGAAAAATTAATAAAAAAAATTTAAAACTAATTACTCGTAAATTAAATTGGGACAGATTCTGATTACAAACAACATTCAATATTTTGCTGGGAAGAAAAGAGGACCTATCCGAGAATAAAATTGAAGAATACTAATTGTCATAATTTATAAACAGCAGTTACATGTCTTCTTGGATCAAGCTCGGTAAGTGGAAACTTCATTGTTCGATGCCAAGGAAATTTCATGTCTGGATTGGTGGGATTTTATTGACCTTGAGTTGAAATCCTATAAAGATGACATGTCTGATTGATAGACGCTAGCGGTGCATGAATCCAACGCGTAAGGGTGCAGGGAGAGACACGCAATAGCTTGTAAGCAATGGAACAATTGAAGCCATGGTCTCTATGCTACATTTTCTTGCAGACAAAGCAACGCCACATGATACATCTCATAATTTCAGCCCTTGAACCCTCCCTCAAATCAGGATCTACAATGTTCATTACCGTCCCTTCATTACCGTCCCTTCCCTCCAACTTCTCCAAAGTCGCTGGGAAAATAAGAATCAGAATATAAAAAAGGACTACAATCTCTTAAAAATTTTCAGTTTTATATGTATTAGTTTAAATCTATTCTTACATAGTTAATAAGGTCAATTACGTTGCCCCTGTGACAAAAGAAATTATTCTTTTAATCACTTACAATCTCCAAAATTAACACTTCAAATTAAAACATTAGTCTTATCTAAGAATTGTCCATGCATTGCATATTTAAGAACTCTGTATCCACTTTTATTTGAGACCAATAAGATAAGAAATGTAAATAATTAATATTTGCATGCTAGATATAGTGTATGGTGAAGTGGCATATTAAGTATATATGCAGGACAATTCTAACACTTTCCTACAATTCTACCTGTCCCATCTTGAGTTTAATTCACCATAAACAATCTTGCCATGCCAAAATCTGAAAATTTTGGTTTCATCACTGCATCTAACAAAATATTAATGGGTTTAAGATTACAATGAATAATCTGAAATCAAGAGTCTTTAAAAAAGGTAAAGATATCCTTGTGCAACACCTTTGATGATTTTATATCGCTTTTCCCAATCTAGTTGAGTGCATTTCATTGGGTCTATAAAACAATCACATATATATAAAAGAAAACAATATTTTGGATCAATTTCTTCTCATTATTGTTTATGAAATCTGAAATTGAAGTTGGGGTGATCGAGATATATCGAATAAGAAGTTATCAAGATTAGAATTTGTCACAAACTCATAAATAAGAAGCCTTTTCCTTTCCTTCCAAATAAAAATCATGAAGCCTAGCTAAATTCCTGTGTTGTAGACTGGCTGCCAACTAGACCATTTTTTCCTAAATTCAAGATCTCTTTGATTAAAATTCATTGATAGCCTCTTCACAACTATATCTTGTCCATTAGTAAGCTTACCCTAAAAATAAATCAAGTAAATTAATTTAAGCTACTAATAAAAAATCCCTACTTTTATTTCAAATTATATAATTAATGAGTAAGGTGTTTGTTGCTCCTACACGCCTTTTTCAGCCCTAACTTTAAATTAAGAGAAGGGTGTTTACTGAAACAGTATAATATTACTATATAAGTATGTACAATTAAAACCGTTGAAAACTCTTCTTCTTTGTCCGTCAAGATTGAATTTTTCTGCAATAATATGTTAGGTATAAATTCATAATTTATATGCAATAAACATTATAGAATAGTTTTGTCCAATAGGTACCAGAAGATGAAACTTTTGAAAGTTTGACTTTGACTGTAGACTATTTCTTAGTCAATTGTTTTGACTCCGTTTAAAATAGAACTTAACGTCCATCATTTAATTAAGGATTTATTTATTTTGTATCTTAAGGACATAGGATAAATAATAAAGATTGAATAATTATTGATTAATAATTATTACTTTTTATTTTAAAAGTGATGAAATTGATTTTTTTTTAATTGTAGATGTCATGTGTTAAATTTTTATTGGTTTATTTTAAATTAAAAAACAAAAATTATCTTTTTAATTTAAAATTTCACATTTAAAAAAAAAGTACTATAATTATTATTCAATTATTATTTTTTATCCTGTGCTCTAAGTGCACAGGATAGACAAACTTTTTAATTAATTATTCTATTTATTTCATAATAATAAATGTTTTTTGTTTTTATATTAAGATTAAAAATTTAAGAACAATTTTTATTGGTATTTATTTTACCTTTAAAAAAAATAAAGAGACCTCTTTTATGGATAATTAAAATTAAAAAATAATCATAAAGTTTAATAAGAAAAAATTTTTGTCTCTATTAAAATTTTAAGAAATAACTATTATTTTGGAATTAATCTTATACAAAAAAAAAAAGTCTATCATTTTGGGACAAAGAGTAAATAAATGTTATCCCCTCCATCCCATAATAGTAGAGGACTTCTTGATTTAGAATTTATTCTAAAATAATAATAATTTTTTCATAATTTAAGGGAGATAAATATTTTTTTTCATTCTTTAACCTTCTCTCAACTTTAATTATGCTTCCTATCATTAAAAAAAATTCTTTATTTTTATTATTTTAAAGATAAAATAAGCAAAAATAGAAATTATCCTCAATTGTTTAATTCAAAGATAAAATTTAAAAACAGATGTACTATTCTGTGAGGAAGGGAGTATTTATTAATTATTAAGGGATTCAAGTTTTTCAGGACATACTATATATTAAAAATACAGTCCATCTTATAAGTCTACATAAATACCTTTAATGAAATAATTTTATTAATGGTATTTAAATAAATTTATAAAATAAACTATACTTTTAATATATAGTACAGTCTAAAAAATACTTTTTTGAATTATTAATCACTAATTAAGGCAGGATCATCATGTAATTAAAATCTGAGTCAGGGGGATCCCTTAAAGCCCACTGAACTGTACAATTCCAACCCACAAACATCCTCTCTTTTTTTTCTTTGTTTTAATGGCCCGCTTAAATGAGTTTGAGTAGCTTGGGCGTGGAAAGGGGCGAATTTGTAATTCTGACTCTTGCCTTGGACCTGGCCCAATTAATTGGATCCGTGAATAAGACAAAATATGGCTCGGATACGAGCTTATGATATTTTGGACCAGCTTGTCTGCTGACAGGCCGCCTGATGTGGGTTAGTTTTGGTTATATAGATTTGGGTCTCCGGATTAGATAAGTTTTGGATTTTTAATGGGTTAATTCAATTTTTAGTCTATTAACTATCATCTTGATTTCATTTTAGTCTAGAAACTATGTTTTATTTCTAAGTGGTCTATTAACTTTAGGATTCATTTCAATTTCGTCTACCTGGTTATCTTTGACGGAAAACTTACTATTCTGTTAGGGAACAGTTAGTCCTCTAACTATATTTATTTTGATATTTTAGTCCTCAAATTTATATTTGCTGTAAAAACAGCTTTTATACTTAAAATTATTATTTTTAGGCTTTGATACCAGATTTTTATTCGAGTTTTCAAAACTTAATTCAGACTACTACTAACTAATGAATAACTAATAATATTTTAAAAATAGAAACAATTAATGAAAATACCTTAAGAAGAATTAAAAATTCGATATCAAAGCTTAAAAATAATAATTTTAAGTATAAAAGTTGTTCTTATAGTAAATATAAATTTAAGGACTAAAAGATCAAAATAAATATAATTAGAGGACTAACTGTTCTCTAACAAGTTTTCCGTCAAAGATAACCAGGTAGATGAAATTGAAATGAATTTGAAAGTTAATAGACCACTTAGAAATAAAACATAGTTTCTAGACTAAAATGAAATCAAGGTGATAGTTAATAGACTAAAAATTGAATTAAGCCGATTTTTAATGGAATATAGATATCTAATTCCTCTTAACTATTAATTCTAGTCCTCTATATATATCTCAAAATAACTATTATGTTTTAAATTTGAGTTTATTTTAAATTAATTATAAATTTTCTTTATTTTTTAGGTTAAATCCTCAATTTGATCCCTAAACTATTGTACGAACCCTTGATTTGGTTTATGAACTAAAAAAATCCCTGATTTGGTCCCTGAACTATTGTACGGACCCCTAATTTGGTCCTTATTGTTTACCAATTTGCCCCAAGTTGGTCCTTTTGAACAAAAAAAAACAACTGACGTGTCTAGTATTTAACGATGAAAAACAGTAACTTAATGATAGAAAACAATAACCTAACGACCACGTGTCACGTTAATAACGAAACACGTCAGCTGTTTTTATATAAAAAGACCAACTTGGGGCAAATTGGTAAACAGTAGGGACCAAATTGGGGATCCATACAATGGTTTAGGGACCAAATTAAGGATTTTTTTAGTTCAGGGACCAAATCAAGAGTCTATACAATAGTTCAGAAACCAAATTGGGGATTTAACCTAATTTTTAAAATAAAGAATTTTTTTTTTACTTTAACTTTATCATTATTCATTTAGTTTGATTAATTGTCTTATTATAAAAGTCTCACTTTATTTTTTAATTTAGTCTAAAAATATGTTAGTTGATGAGAATGGAGGGAAGAAGGAAGAGTTTTTCTAGCCATCAAATTATAACATTTTAAAAACTCTTCCCTCTTCTTCCTTTTCATTCTTTTCAACCCAAATATAAGGTAAGAGTAATATAAATAAATATATAAATTATTCTTAGATTCTTAATTTAAAAAAATAAAAAATAACTATTATTTTGAGATAAAAAGAGTATATGTGTTCAATTTTAATTTACTTAATTTAAATTTTTAACTTTTTAAACATTAATTTTAGATAAAAATTTAATGTGTATATAAATATAAATAACAATTGACAAGAGAAGTGAACATGAAATAGGAGTATCTACTGAGGGCATATCACACTCAAGTTTGAAACAAATTTCAAGAAAATGTGAAGTTGTAGAAAACAATAATGTCGGTGGCTTTGGCAGTGCCACCCCAAGCCTACGTACAGCACTTCAGCCAATTAAAAAAAAGACAGAAAAAACGTTTAAATAGGTATTTAGATTATCAGTTTAGAGGTACTTCATACCTGATAGCATATCAAGAAAGATATATCACCAACTTTCAAGACGGTAGTGATGATTTTAACATTGATTATCTTGGATATAGCTCAGTAATCGAAACCTCGTTTATTGAAGGCGGAGCATGTTCACGAGTGGATCGATGGGCTTCTTGCGAAGATACAATGTTGTCAGACTGACTCGTGCTGCGCAAGAAAGAGGCAGGGTGTGAGGGTGTTGGGAGACTTATGGGGTTGCTGCTGCTAAGCATCCCAACAATTGACCTCATGATTGTTCTACTTGCTGGACGTTCTTCCACACAAAGTAACCCAATCTGGATGCATTTCATTATTTCCGCTGTTGAACCCTCCCCCTCAAATTGGGATCCACGATATTCAGAGGCGTTCTTTCTCTCCAATTTCTCCTTGCCTGTGATAAAAATATAATTGAAACATATTATGCACTACAAATGACTAATCTTTTAAAATGTCGCGTTTCAAGTAGATTAATCTCATAAATTTACCAAGCTTATAAGGTCTAGAACATCCTCCCCATTGTGGCAAGAGTAATTCCTTCGTCCACTCATAATTTCTAAGATTAATATGCCAGAACTGAAAACATCTGATTTAATTGAAAAGTGGCCATGTTCAATGTAATCTGGAGCAATATATCTACTATAATTCAAACATGAACAATAATTTATGAGAGTATACTATTGAAATGGGATGCAGGAATTACTACGCTTACCATGTTCCCACAATCCTTTTTGTAGTATCATGAGTCTTATCAGTTACATACAATATTGTCATGCCAAAATCTGAAATTTTTGGATTCATCTCTACATCTAATAAGATATTGCTAGGTTTAAGGTCACGATGAATAATCTGTAATTGAGAGTTCTCATGAAGATAAAGAAACCATCGACTGATGGCTTTGTAGATGACCAAGATGTAACGGCATAACTCATTGAAGTAGTAAACACAGTCTTTCTTCTTTTTTGGGCCAAAGCAAACATGAATGTTTTTATTCATGAACTGCACAAGGTGCAGGAATCTTAATGTAGAGTAACATGGAAAAGGCACTTACCAAAAATGAAACGATCAAGGCTTGCATTTGGCATAAATTCATAGATGAGAAGTCTTTCTTTTCTTTCCGAGCAGAAACCAAGGAGTCTCACCAAATTGCGATGTTGAAGCTTAGCCACTAAAAGGACTTCATTTTTAAATTCTCTCTCTCCCTGTTCAGAACCACAAGATAGCCTTTTTACAGCTACAAATTGTTTATTTGGAAGTTGGCCCTAGAAATCAATGAAAAGGTACCATATATTTGAGTTCAAATGACCACGAAATTTCAAGTTAATTAAATATACCCAGATGGATGATTAATGTTAATTTTTAATTCCCAATAATAATTACCTTGTAAACAACTCCATATCCACCTTGTCCAAGCTTATTTTCCTCACAAAAGTTATTTGTAGCTGCTTGAACAGTGGCTAAGTCATATTGTCAGGACCCAATCTCAATAATTTCATCTGTAGTGCAGAAAAATGAGTGAATATACATTCATTATTCCATCAAATTAGAAAAGAATTATCCACAATTAAGGCTTAACTAATTTCGACGTCTTTAAAAAGTTTCATCATTTTGTTGTACTTGTATGGTTTTGTTCAAAGAAAAAACTAATCCAAATCATGACCATAATGTTTTAGCATCACATCAGGGACTGAAAATAAATATTTCATAATAATCGGGGGAAATGTTACTTACCGTCATCTTCTTCCTTCGACTTTCCATGTCTTAGACAAATGCGAATGCAGGCGAGAAGCAACAAAACTCCGATGACTGAAGCAACAACGACAACGATGATTGTTGGACTAGTTCTGTTGCCTTTTCCTTTTCCTGGAAAAGCTAAGTTATGGACCCAATCACGGGTTGAGTTTTATAATCTAACATACGGTACAAACAAAATTAAAAGTACTTAAATAATCATTTTACAAACTAAAAACGGCTTGATTTAGGTGGAATGACTTTAGGGACTTGATTGTTAAAAGTGAATAAATTTAGGGGCTAAATTTGACGGTACAATCTTATCCAAGTGGGAATTACATCCTGCAAAAGACTTTTCTCTTCAATTATTTGAATAGGAGATGGAAATAGCTACTATACCTTCTGCGGGAGGAGGTGAAGACGACGGTGGTGAGAAATTAATTTCATCTGTGACATTCAAAAAAGGGCCAGTCTCATATCTGAAGATACAGCTGGGTTGTAGAACTTTACATCCGATCGACCCACGGCAGAATCCAATCTTTCCGATGGCCGTCTCCAAACAATCACCGCATTCTTTCTGGGACAAATCGGGAGTGCACTGCGCATATGCGTACACACTCCCAAAGTTATCTGGAGCTACAGCGTGACTTTCCGCATACTTGCCAAAAGTGTCTCCAACGGCCGCATGACTGCTTAAATTATTCAGCAAGGAACTCAGTGCGAGATTGAATTTTTCAACATTGGACACATTTAAATTGCTTTTTATAGTACTGTCAGGCGTGGTTTGCTTAACTCCAAAAATATCCCGATTTGAGTAGCGGAACATACAGAGATCCGACCATCCAACAGCCTCTATCCTGTTAATGCAGATCTGCAGGAGATTCGGAATGGTCTCGCTGAGGCAACTTTTGCAAACATCCTGCTTTATGTCTCCTCTACAAAGTCCGATTGCGTTGACTTGACCGTGGCTCTGGCCGACAATTAGATTGTAGAACCCATAACTAAATTCCTTGGTTGAGGAGAATTGGGTGGAGAGACGCTCGACGTTGGCCACATAAAACTGCCGCTATAGAAGTAGTTGGTGAGACAACTTGTTTTTTGTAAACAAGGATCACAACCTACTTCAAAGTTATCAAGAGCAGAAGCAAAAAGAGATTAACTGAAGGAAAGAAGAAGGAGAAGAAGAGCAGTCTTGAACATCCCATAATTTGCCTTTCCTTTAACCCTTGAAAAACAAAAAGGGTAATCATGAAAAGGATAACGTGGTTATTGGAGAGTGGACATTGATGAGCAAATTAAGGGGTTGCTGTAAAGTTGTAAAATTGGAAAAAAGTTTTCGTGACTAATGGATGGAGAGCGGGTATTTAATGACAACCGTGAAGGAACCATAATGATTTTTTTTTTTTTTTTTACAAAGGCAAAAAAAAAAGAAGAAAAAATTAGGAGAGTTTTATTAATT